AAGCCTTCCTACCCTGGGTTCATGAATAGCAGAAAGCCAGAAACATGCCGTGAACAGCACAAACAACCGCTACACTCTGCCCTTCTAGTTACCAAATGTTGATCTCACTTTCTCTTCCACAGGTCAGGTATACAACATACAACGCCCTCCCCCACACACCCTCACAGCCCTATCCAATCACATCATGTTCAAAGTCCAGGATATCGAGGTGCATGTGGCACAGCAGTCTGCAGCAAGGGGTGCGGGTAGTAGCGCCAGAACCGGGAGCTGTGGCTTGTTTTGATCACGAGACTTCTGCACCCAAGGGCAAATTATCTGCCCCACACCAAATATGGGCTTCCCTGATGGCTCAAGGCGATAAAGACTCCACCAGCAGTACAGGAGAGCTGGGTTCGATCCCCGGATTGGGAAGTTCCCCTGGAGGAAGGCGTGGCAACCCACTCCAGGATTCTTGGCTAGAGAATCCCCATGGACAGAGGAGCCTGGTGGGTTACAGTCCATGGGGTCGCAAAGAGTCAAAAGCGACTGAGCGACTAAGCACACACACCAAATATATACAGTTGGTGAAATACCAGCAGGACAACCACGGTGAACACTCCTATTCAGAAAAGGAAACTAAACAAAACACACAGAAGTGACTAGTCTCTAGCAATTCTGACTACAAGATGAACCACGCAAGGGCACCTTCAGCTTTTTCGGAAAAGCTAAACACAGGAGGACAGGCAAAAGTATATAAGGCATACTAAATAAAAAATTTGTTAAAAAAACTTTTTTAAAATTTAAGTAGGTAAGGCAAATGCATTACAAAAAAGAAAAAGAAAGCAAAGATCCTGTTCTTATTAATAATATTAGAACAGATAGAATTCTGGCTAAAGAGCACTAAATGAGACTAAAAGGTTACACTATAATGCAAAAGGCTACAATTCACAAAAAAGTATACTGAGTATCCATGCACAAAACAACACAGTAGCAACTTTCAACAAGTGGAAACTCTAAGAAGTGCAAGAAGAAATAGACAAAATATATTAATATTAGAAAACTTTTTTCTCAGTGAGACAGATCAAAGAGTTAAAAACAAATATATGGATACAGAAGACTAAAACAATCAGGTAGATCTTATGGGTAAATACCAAACCTTTTACCCTGATGACACCAGGTAATACAGAATATATCTCATTTTCAGCTGTATATTTAATTTTCATGAAATTGACCTCATGTTAGGCTACAAAGAAAACCTTAGTATTTTCCATATTGCATATTTAAGCAGCATATTGTTTTTGCATACTTTTTCCCATCTTTTAATCTACTGAAGTGTAATTTACAAATACAACTTTAATTTACAAATACAATTCCTGCTGACAGTGACTACAGCCATGAAATTAAAGGATACTTGCTCCTTGGAAGGAAAGCTATGACAAACCTATACAGTGTATTAAAGAGCAAAGACATCACTCTGCAGACAAAGGTCCTCCATATAGTCCTAGGAGTGGAGTTATTGGGTTGTATACACAGTGTATTTTCTAATTATTTCCAACAGTTTTGTGTCATTCTGATTTAGGCACATCTTGTAAATACCATATAGCCACAAGATTTTAAAAACATCCAATCTGAGCATTTGTCTTTAATAAGAGAACTTAACTAGTCACATTCATCATGGGTACTGTTTGGACTTCTTCCTGCCAACTTACTTTGTCTTCTATTTACTGTTATTTCTTCTTCTCTACCTGATTCTGCATTCCTTTTCCTTTTAAAATTTACATATAGTGAAATATACAGATCTCCGGTGGCGTATTCTGCTTTTGTATTTGTTTGTTTGTTTTTATTTATTTTGCTTTTGTATTTTTAAAAAATCTATTTATTTGGCTGTTTCGAATGTTAGTTGTGGCACATGGGATTTTAGCACCCTGACCAGGGATGAAACCTTTATCCCCTACATTGCAAGGTGTAGAAGACCACTAGGGAAGTCACAACTTCCTTCCTTTTTAAAGCTGCATACTTTCCATTGTGTGTATATACCACATTTTGGTTATTCATTCATCTGTTGATGGACGCTTGCATTGCTTTGTCCTCTTGACTACTGTGAATAGTGATGCCAATGAACATGGGTATACAAATATCTTTCAGATACTGCTTTCAACTCTTTTGTATATATACCCCAAAGTGGAATTGCTGTATTATATGGTAGTTCTTTATAAAACTTCCTTTTTTGAGGAAGCGTATTATTTTTCATAGCAACTGTACCATTTTACATTTCCATCAACAGTACACAGTAGTTCCAGTTTTTCCATATCTTTGTCAACTCTTGTTATTTAGTTATGCTTACCCGCAGCCATCTTAATAGGTATGAGGTGGTAACTGTGATTTTGATTTGCATTTCCCTAACGATAAGTGACTTGAATATCTTTTCATGTGCTTTTTGGCCATCTGTATGTCTTCTCCAGAAAACTGTCTATTCAAGTCCTCTTACTTTTAATTCTACCTCATTGTTTTTAAGTGCTCATGACATTCCATCATATAGATGTAAAACTTTCAGATGGATATTTACATTCTTTTCAATATTTCTGTTATAGTGGTATAGTAAGCCTCTTTCTATATACTTCCTTGTACACATATGTGAAGTTTACACATTTATCATGCATTTATCTCACACTGATCATATATTTTAAAGGAAATCACCTATGATACCTATAAATAACTAAACAATAGAATTAGGCTCACATGGCATCTGTAATTTTTATTTTAATGGATCCTAGTGAAGTGAAAGTCGTTCAGTCATGTTCGACTCTTTGTGACTCCATGGATTATACAGTCCATGTAATTCTCTAGGCCAAAATACTGGAGTGGGTAACCTTTCTCGTCTCCAAGGGATCTTCCCAACCCAGGGATCGAATCCAGGGTCTCCTGCATTGCAGGTGGATTCTTCACCAGCTGAGCCACAGTGGAAGCCCAAGAACACTGGAGTGGGGAGCCCATCCCTTCTCCAGGGGATCTTCCTGACTCAGAAATCAAACCAGGGTCTCCTGCACTGCAGGTGGATTCTTTTCCAACTGACCTATCAGGGAAGCCCAACGGATACTAAACTACTGCTGTCCAAAAATGGTTTTACTTATTTGCATTCTTGTCAGCACTACATGACTGCCATGTCCTTATACCCTTATTATATATATTGGAAAATTTTTTTGTCAGTCATTTGTCTTAATTTTGGGGGAATTTCTTTTTTGCATAAAAATCTAATTTTAATGTATCCGCACTTATCAATCTTTTCTTTTATGGCTTTTACATTCTTCATCTTCAAGAATTTTGCTGCTAAGTCACTTCAATGACATGACTTTAGTCATGTCCGACTCTGCAACCCTATGGACCATAGCCTGCCAGGCTCCTCTGTCCATAGGATTATCCAGGCAAGAATAATGGAGTGGATTACCATGCCCTCCTCCAGATCTTCCAAACCCAGGGATCGAACCTGCGTCTCTTATGTCTTCTGCATTGGCAGGCAGGTTCTTTACCACTAGCACCACCAGGAAGCCCTCTTTAAGAATTCTACTCAGGGCTTACATACATTTTCCTTTTTCTTTTCCTAATACTTCCATGCTGGATGGCATCACCGACTTGATGGACATGAGTTTGAGCAAGCTCTAGGAGTTGGTGATGGACATGGAAGCTTGGAGTGCCGCAGTCCATGGGGTTGCAAAGAGCAGGACACAACTGAGTGACTGAACTGAACTGAATACTTCCATGGCTTAAAAAATATTTAGACTTTGATCCACTTGAAGGATATGAAGTAGAAATATAATTTTTTTTTTCAAATGGATAGCCAACTGTTTTTCAAATGGACAGTGATACAATAATCACTATCGTTTACTGAACAACACTTACTTCTATCAGGTACTATTCAATTTAATCCTATCTTATTGGGGTTGTTTTGAGGATTAAATAAAACATTTTTTTTCTATTTTTTGGCTACCCCTAGTATACGAGATCTTGGTTCCCAACCAGAGATTGAACCCAGGCCCCCTGTAGTGAAAGTACGATGTCTTAACTACTGGACTGCCAAGCAAGTCCCTAAATAAAACATTTTAAAGGGAAGCAACAAAAGCATCAAATGCTTATGTAATTTGCCCAATTCATACAAATATTAACTGCTAAAATCAGGATCCTAACCCTAGTGGGATGACTCCACAATATTTGGTCTTCTAATGCAATTTTCTTTTCCCATAGATTTTTACATTTTTTATTTTAATACCAGCTTTATAACATACTAAGTTACCATAAATACATAGGTCTATTTATGGACTTTCTAGTCTGTTTCAATGACCTATTTGTTCTTATACTGTCTTGCAATCATGTAAAACATATAAACTGATCATGTTATCCATCCTAATTAAAAACTGAATGACTCCCTGTTGACCTCAGGATTAAGTCCAAACCCTTCATCCTGTCATATAAAGCCCCTCCCTCCCACCTCCTACCTCTGGAGTCTCAGATGTGAGCATAGACTCCCCCCTTCTGTGTTCTAGCTCTCTTTCAAGATTAACTCAAACGTAACTACCTTTAGTCCCTCCTCTCTCCCCATCCCAACCAGGGAAAAAGAAATCATTCTTTCCACCTGTATGTCTACTCCGTCATACTTTTATCCTAGCATCACTATTTCACTGTATTTCACTACATGTCTCTTTTCTACCATAATATGAATATTCTGAGTATAAGACCACATCTTATTAAATGCCTACCATAAACTTAATAAACATTTGAGTAAATCAATATAAAATGACCATCATATTATATGAGCAATTTTCTGATTTATAAAAAGATGCAGGAAATTTTAAAATGACACAAAATTTAATTTTAAAGACAACACTGAAAAGTGAGTATATTTAACTATACTCAGCTCACTATAGAGCAAGTGGGTGAGTGCAATAGTAATTCACGCTATAGCATGTTTAGTGAACTGGCAAAAGAGAAAATGGGTCAAAGGAAGATGGAGAAATTTTCTCTTTTCATTAGAACCGAGGGGCTCCGTAATCATCTGGCATCCGCTCAATGTTGTACCTGATCAGGACAAAAAATTAACATTGGTTAGAAACCAGATCCCACCTTAAAAGCCCATCCTTCATTGATTATATCGCTGTCACCTCCTGCTGTGAATCCTTTTTTGTCAGTGGGGACATTTTAAAGGCCTATCGTAATGAATGATTTACAGCAAAATGCTGACTATATTATCTTTATTCTTCAAAGTGAGAAAGTTAACAAGTTGGAGAGCCAGGTATGGAGTCCAGGTGTGCCCAAGCCCCTCACCCATATTCTTCCAATTTTGTTGTGTTTGTCCCAGGATAAAAAGTTGGCCAATAATAGTCTGAGGATTGACACAGGAACATCAAAGAAGGATAAAAAGCAGCTTTTTTTTAAAAAAATGAACTTCCAGTTTCCCAGATAAGGTGCTAATTACCTGCACTAGGTTTTCAAAAAAAAAAAAAAGGTATTTCTAGCCAAAAAGATAAGCTTAAGTTACCGCATTGTATCAATATTTAAGGCCACACATTTCCCTATTCCTTCTAGTGATCTTACTGTAACAATGTGAATGTCTGCCTCATTCCTAAATCCTAGCTTTATCTTTTGCCTGTGTTCTTGTCATTAATATTTTGTCTCATTTATTCAAATAGAACCATGTAAACATTTTATACATCAATTTTTTTTTTCCCAAATCCTTCTATATCTTGACATCAACTATGTACAGTTAATCACTTCTCTAAGAGAAACTTCTCACCTATGGTTAGAAATGTACATGATGGGAACTCCAGGGATCTTCCGGATTCTTCGTTTAAGGTCCCGGTCAACTGTGGCCACAATGTAACACTTGTGCTGGAAAAGACAGGATTCGGTGTTCACACAGAGCTCACTAAATGACACTGGATACAATCACTGGTTAGTCTGAAGAATTACTCATTTTTACAGTAAACAAGAAAAGAAAGGCTAAAAGAAATTGGTGAGTAGTTCTAGATTGAGGAGCTCATATTTATCACATAAAACATAACAAGTTACCTGGGCTGATTGTGGCTCTACGAATCTTGATGGGGAGAAGATAGAAAAACTAGTTAAAAGCTGCAAATTGTTTTTTGTCTCATAAGTGGAAGGGATTTTCATGTCTAGGGCAGACAATTCGGTTTTCTGAAAACACCCTTAGAAAGACTATGCAAAGGCAGAGTTACAGCCTTAGATCTGAAGGCACAGCTTTTGCCTTTAGAAGGATCTCCAGGGCTGGTCCTACTCTGGAGGCCTCCTCATGGTGGAGGGAGGCTACCTCCTGGGGTCTGAAGCCAGAATAGGAAGATCTCCAGGACAAGTCAGAGTCAAACAGCTCTAAAGCACTAACATTTAGCAACCCGTCTGGAACTAATTTGTATTATATTGATACTTTACTTTTCTCCTACCCAAATCTCTTGCTGAGTTTTATAAAGAGTTGTAGACTGGGGCCAGCTGTGCTATGGGGAATTAAGGGAAATGCCGGCCCCACCCAAGGGATGAAGTGGTTCAAGGAATGGCAGTGTGGTCACTACAGAAAGATGATTATTTTCCGCATAGACAGGCTTTTTAAGGGCAATCAGCAACAGAAGTTCTGGTGTTTGACAAGGAAGAACAGATGAATCAAAAACCTACTTATTCTACTTATTCTAGGGTATGTGTGAAATAGCACCCTGGCAGACTCAGACTCAAAATTCCTACACAGGGAGTAAATGGAACTTTACTCAATTATTTATTTTTTGGCTGCACTGCATGGCATGTGGGATCTTAGTTTCTCAATCAGGGATCAAACCTGTGCCTCCTGCATTGGAAGTGCATAGTCTGGACCATCAGGCAAGTCCGTGGAACCTTATTTTAGATTCACAGGGAGATGGAACCTGATATATTAGTATGTCTACACTCACCCACTTAAACCATATTATAGAGGAGATTTGTGGGATAAAGAATCAATAAATGCTCCAAATTACACCCCCAATAAATGCAGATGCCAAGATCTGAGATGATGTCTCCTCCCCAAACCCATGATCCTTCTTCATTATGGTTACAGTATGCACTTCCAATCCACTCTCTCAAGTGAATGAGGACACCGACACGTCCCATGAAGGGATTCTATATGATTTTTTTATCATTTATATTCCTAGATACATGAACATTTAGGAAATAATAGCTTATCTTTTTTGAATAGCACAGAGTAAATATTAAAAAATGATGATACCTGAGTTACTCTTTGCACTAAGCAGTCATCTGCATAGGTTCCTTTGTGTGTACATGGTAATCGCTCAAACCTTGGATCCTTGGCAATCCTATATGGTTATAAAAGTGGATTAATAAAAACATTCAAGCAACTAAGTAACTTTACAACTTTCAACCAGTGAAATAAGAGTAATGTGATCTCTGTGGAGGTTTCAAGACACCCCTCTCCCCCTGAAGCTTATCTTCTGTATAACTGGGAAGACAATTTATAGAGAAGGTAATTAAAGCTTACTGACTGAGAGCTGCCAAGCCTTACATCACACACTTGTTACAGAAATCTGAAATATTATATTTCTGTTTTACAGATAAATAAGTAGATTCAGAGAGCTTGATTAATTTGTTCGAAGTTATACAGCTGGGAAAAGCCAGGATTCAAAACTAAATCAAATTAAACCTAACCATTTTGCTTTTAGGACGCTGTCTTACACAAATACACAAGAATACAGGTGCAAGGATGGTCACTACAATATGGTTTATAGCAGTGGAAAACTGGAGATGATCTGAATATCCATCAGCAAGGTAAAAGTTAAATACATTTTGGTATTTCTATCCTATTTTAAAAAAGAGGTAGAACTGTATGTACTAATGTGGGAGGACATATAACAAACAAAGCAGATGACAGACACGTATATAACATTAAAAAATCGCATTCATCACTGTTTTCACTGGTCTCAATAGAAAGGTCCTTAGCATTGGGAATGTGATTAGCTTATGATTTTCCCAAACTCAAAATCAGTGTCTGTCAGTTGTTCTTCACATGAAAATGGTATTTCATGAAAAAGCAGCTCGTTCAGCTCACAGCTCAAGCACACAAATACTTCTCGTTGAGATGATGTTCATCCTTTGCTCTGTTTTCCTTCTCCTTCCAGTTTTACTGAGATGGAAGTGACATACAGCACTGTGTGAGTTTAAGGTCCATAGCACGATGACTTGATTTACACCTATTATGAAATGACTGCCGTAGAAACGTTAAGGGAGCACCCACCAGCAGAAGTGCTTTGTGTGGGCTTCTCATTTCACCACAAGGAATACTGATGTGTATTCCAGGGTTGAGATTTAACACTGTGAATGAATTTTACAGCTATTAAGGATATTCTTAAGTGACTCTGGTATTAAAAAAAGAAAACTGCCAGCGAAGAATAAAAAAAACTACTAGCATTACTTAGGCCCAATGTCTTGATTTGTACTAAGGTACTGCCATTTTTTTGCATTCAGTGCAAATGTCAGCACAGTGACAAAGGCAACACCTTGGTAGTATTATGAAAACAGTTTTGCAAACTCCCTGCAAAGGTCTCTGGGACTCTGGGGGTGGAGGAGGGTTCCCACACTTTGGGAACCACTAAACTGAAAGGCACTTTCTAGAGTGAACTCAAAACTTCTTGTAAGTAACCTGAAAATTGTTTAAGTGTGAGATTCTGAAGAAGATAACCAGATAACAAACTAACAGAAAGACACTTTCTAAGTGAAAATCTAGAGGAACGTTAAAGGAGGCCCAGGAGACCTGTATAACTAAGGAACTTTAGTTCAAAAAGCTTCAGCTTGAAAACTCTAACCTTCAAATGTTTGCTTTCTAAGTCATAAATAGTTAACTAGTTTTGTATGATTTTTATTTAAACTAACCAGACAAGAAATCTTTGGAGAGCAAACAGAAGAAGGAGGGTCAAAAGAATCTTCAGTGCACCAATCTAAAACAAATCTAGATCAGCTCCTTCCTACCTTAAAGCCACTCTATACTTCTGCCCCAATTTCTCAATTTCAGCCATTACACAGTCAGTTATACAAGGGATACCTGCCAGGAAAAAAAAAAAATTAGCAACAAACTTGCGAAGGAAATGATTTTACTCTCAATTTTATCCTGTTGAGAGTTTTATCACTGGACCACCAGGAAATTCCCTGAATTATATACTTTAAATGAGTGACTTACATGGTATGTGGATTGAATCTTGAAGTTGTTAAATAGCATGAAGATAAAAAAGTAAATAATGCATGATCTATTCTTATTCGTGAACAAAAATAACCTCACAGAATGAGGTTATTTATTATGAACAAAATTACCCCACAGAAACTGTATATGAATTTTTAAAAACTGCCCCTTTCTGAGGAAAGGCATAATAGGGAACTTTCATTTTCTTTATAATAGATTATTAATTTTTTTCCACAAATACACGAACACTCTTGAGAACAGACAAAGTTAAGACATCTTAAACTAAAATACAATGCCTAGAAGAAAAAGCAGTTGTAAAATGGAGGAAAGAAGATAGGAGGAACAGGTAGGCATGGAATTAGAGGGCAATACATGCCTTAAAAGGGTCAATTTCAAAGCCATGCAGCACTGAAGCAAGAGCTTGCATCTGGAGCAGGGATATGGGTCAGGAAGATCACTACAAAGAGGACTCTTAGTAGAAAAGAAAGCCCATAGGTAGCTAACCATCCTCCTCTCTTGGAGTGTCAAACAGAAATGGAAGGGACCAGGAGCTATGAAAAGGTCAAAGGGACATCTCCAAGCCAAAACGAAGATAAAGGCCTTCTTTTAAGAATAAAGGCAAGTGAAGAAAAATGAAATAAGCAGAGCTTAAAACAGTTAAGGAATCTCCTAGCTAACTGAACTTGTAATGCACTTGAATGTTTCTTCAGCCTTTGCTCTGAGATATTATGTTACACAGAAAAGTGGCATTTTCCTTAGTAAGTTTTTTCTCTCAGAAAAGGCACTGTGAGAGCATTTAGCTGTATGCATTATAGCTGTACTCTATGGTATCTACAGCTGGAGAAAGACCTAACTATAAGACCAACGCTATCCCAAACAATCATCTTTTTTTTTGGCCATGCCATGTGGCTTATAGGATTTTAGTTCCTCAACCAGGGGCTGAATCTGCATCCTTGGCAGTGAAAGTGCCGAGTCCTAAGCACTAGACCACCATGGACTTCCCCTGAACCATTCAGATAATAGTAGTAGAGCTAGAGAGCCAGGGAAGCAATGCAACGCCAAGGGGCCAAGCTTGAACCCTCCATCCGTTTTGTTCATAAATAGGTCACAGCATTCCTGGAGAAGCAGCTAAGACAGCTATAACACTCTTAGAATAGAAGTCTACCAAGATTTGTTTCTTCCCTTAATCAGGCCACTCTAGTCCACTTTTAGGCATGGTCATGATCCAACTTCAGACCACCCTTTATTATTTCTAAGAGACTTAAGAAAAAAATTTTTTTTAAGTATTACATGTACATAGCTTTAAAAAAATACAAAAAGGCCTATATGAAAAAATAATGATCCCTTGATCTTTTTCCACCCCACCAATTCTGAGAGTTGGACTCTAAAGAAGGCTGAGCACTGAAGAATTGATGCTTTCAAATTGTGGTGCTGGAGAAGATTCTTGAGAGTCGCCTGGACAGCAAGATCAAACCAGTCAATCCTAAAGGAATCAACCCTGAATATCATTGGAAGAACTGATGCTGAAACTGAAGCTCCAATACTTTGGTCACATGGTGGAAGAGCCAACTCACTGGAAAAGAACCTGATGCTGGGAAAGGCTGAGGGTAGGAGAAGGGGGAGACAGAGGATGAGATGGTTGGATGGCACCACATGACTCAATGGACATGAGTCCATTGACCCAATGGACATGAGTTTGAGCAAACTCTGGGAAATAGTGAAGGACAGGAAAGCCTGGTGTGTGGCAGTATGTGGGGTTTCACAGAGTCAGACATGACTGAGTGACTGAACAAATTCTGATCCTTAGAGATGACTTTTAATTTCATTGGCTGTTTTTCTCACTTGGTCGTTACATTCATAATTGATATAATAAACTTATGCAGTTAATTTTTATATTAATTTTAGGCATTTAAAGAATTATCCATCACACATCCCTTATCCCACCCTGCTAATTTTAATAAATCAATAAACAGCATTAACATTACTATCACTCTCTAAATGTTCACTATGTAGTGTCTTTTATATATATTATAGGAGGTATGAAGTTTTTCCTTTGATTCCAATAGTTTATTCTTTATGGCAAAGTGTAAGTTTAATTTTCATTTGTACCTTTAACTAGATGACTTGAAAATGTGTGAATATAAACCCACCACAAAATAAAACAGATCTCACTATTATGAAGTTATTTCCCTGTACTTGTCCTAAACTATCTTTTTCCTCCTCATGGTAGGAAAAGAAGACCATTTGAAGGAGGAGACACCCAAACACAGAAGGGAAATCTATTAATGGTAAACTACATATCTAGGTGTAAATACACTACCTCAGATCCTTTGTGGTATAAATAAACACCAGACTGAATAAACTTAGGAATAGTTGACCATAATCATTTCTAGTTCTGTGATTATAAATGGCTGGCAAAATGTCTTATTTAGCTTTTCCACACTGAAGTGGATAGGAGAATGTTTCCTACTTAATGTAAATAATATATATAGTGAGAAATTAAATAAGTTTTTATTTATCCAGAATTTTAAAATCCTAAATCCTAAAACAGAAAATTCCCCACCTATTTTCTAAGTTGATGTCTGTAATGATGGTCAAAGCATACAAAGTGTTTTCTCAATTGTCAAAGTTTAATTATTCCCAGTCAAATTTGCATTATATTTCAATTCATTGAAAAGGGTCCCTGCTATGGTGAGCAAATTAAATGGCCAGCAATTCAGTTAACTAGAACCCTATTTCCCTTTTTTCATGTATTTGGGTAAGTATGATTATTATTTACAAATGTCACAGAAATGGAAATGTCTGATACTCACACTTGGCATACAGGCAGTCCATCATTGACTGCACTAAGTCCAGTTTGGCTTTAATGGAAAAGTTGATAAAGTTGGTATCGACCAGGATGTGGTAAGGTGGGCCCAGCTGTGTGTTATATTGGAAGAATAAGCAGGAAGGGTGTTGAGGGCTGGAAGAAAAAGGAAAAAAACACCAAGTAATGTCTACACTGATATTCTGGTATAAATAAACAAAAAAGAAGTCTCTTCTTGGAGAATAGTTTGCTCCTTTCCCCCTGTTCATTGGAAGTAAATCCTGTAGTGATATATCCATCACCAATCTAGGGCAAAATGAGAAAAATAAGAAAAATGTGATGAGGTTTCATAAAGTTAAATGTACTTACGTAAAAGGAATAACCTTTATCCTGAAACTATGCTCTTACTACTTTTTGGTGATATGCTGTCTCTTTTATGAAATGCAGGTATAATAATTAACAATCTTTCAATTTTCTTTTGAAAGATTCTTGGCAAAGAGAAAAAAAATGATATTAGATTTAATCCCCAGGATTTTAGGGAAACTTTTACTGCTCCATGAAGTCCAAAAACCTTTGAACTGTTAGAATTGGTTTATACTCATCAATACCACTTCATCTGCCTAGCTGTGCCAGACTTAAACGACTGAGCAAGTCAGTTCAGGGGATGCCCGAGTTGCTCGGAGGTCTGTAGTTTTAGAATCTTTCTTCGAGTTTTAAAGGAAAACTTGAAATTTTTTGATTACTCACACTTCTCTTTCCTTGAGTGCACTGGGATCTTTCTTTTCTTTCTTTTTTGGTTTTAATCTATCCTTTTCTTTACTAGAAAAAAAAAGAAAAGAAAATTCAATGTAGGGGAGAAAAAAGTCCACAGCAGTGATTACACAGTTAATCAGTAAAACCTAATTAAGTTTTAAAATCATTAGCTAATAATCCATATAAATTGTTAGTGGATAAATAAATGTTGGTTATATTATTTCTTTCTTTGTCAGAAGCTCTCATATGAAGGATAAAAATCCACCTCCAAGCAGTGGGTAAACAGGCTGACATTTATCCGCTGAAGACTCAGATGCTTCAACAGCAGGAGGAAAAGGGTTCCCCCACATGTCTCTTGTAAAACGCTAAAATGTGACAATATATATACAGAATTTAACCTTAACTAGAAACAAATTATTATTAGTGGTTCAAATTTCCTTAAAATTACATAATACGTACTAAAGGTCAAGAATACAATTTAACAACAATGAAGACTCTAATGACTACTCCTTTGTACTGAGACTCTTAAACACAATGAAGCCTAGTCTTTGTTTAATAACTCCATCCATTCTTAACCAAGCTGGCAAGTTGTTTGGTTCCTACTTATACTAGGTAATATCATTCTGCTCTCTTCCTCCACAGTCATAAATCTTGTAAGATTTATCAAATGGAGACACCTAGATGTTTTCCCATTTTTTGTTTCAAAAATACTTGAGTTATCAGGTGCTGGTACACAAGACAATGATAATCTCTGACCTCACTGTCTTTTAAAAATTATAACAAACTTTTCTCCCCTCCTGGGGAATGTAGCAGTGTAATGACAAAAACCTAAAGAAAATCCTACCTACCTCACAGAACAGTCAGGAGGCTTAAAAGTGACATGGCATTTACAGTACATAGAAACGGTGATACAAATTGAACACTTAAGAGATGCTGAATTCCCAACCCATTCACCAGTGTACCTGCTCAGCAGCTAAGCGACTGTTGTACTTTATTACTCTTTAATAGTCCGAGACATAATAACACCAAAAGTAAACAAAACAACAAAAATAACAACAGAAACTTATACTACTTATCCCCTCGTGATTTCTATAGCTCTGGGCAGTCTAGGAACCCAGATGATTCCAGACACTCACAGCCTCTGATCTCTGAGACTAAGCATTCGCTTCATGGTCGCATACTTCCGTGTTTTCTTTTGCTTCCCCTTGAAACAAAAATTTTAGAGTTAAAAAGAGTTGGAAACACACCGCATATTCCTGAGTTCCTTTTCTTTTGTCCACACCCTTCTTCCCTCAAATACCCACTTCTTTCTATCTGCCTCAACCAGACTTTATCTTCTTGGGCTCCAAACTCACTGCAGATGGTGACTGCAGCCATGAAATTAAAAGACGCTTGCTCCTTGGAAGAAAAGTTATGACCAACCTAGACAGCATATTAAAAAGCAGAGGCATTACTTTGCCAACAAAGGCTCGTCTAGTCAAAGTTACGGTTTTTCCAGTAGTCACCTATGGATGTGAGAGTTGGACTCTATAAAGAAAGCTGAGTGCCGGAGAATTGATGCTTTTGAACTGTGGTGTTGGAGAAGACTCTCGAGAGTCCCTTGGACGGCGACGAGACCCAAGCAGTCCATCCTAGAGGAAATGAGTCCTGAATAGTCATTGGAAGGGCTGATGCTGAAGCTGAAACTCCAATACACTGGCCACCTGATGCGAAGAAACTAACTCATTTGAAAAGACCCTGATGCTGGGAAAGATTGAAGGCAGGAAGAGGAGGGGATGACAGAGGATGAGATGGTTGGATGGCATCATCGACTCGATGGACGTTAAGTTTCGGTAAACTCCGGGAGTTGGTGATGGACAGGGAGGCCTTGCGTGCTGCAGTCCAAGGGGTCACAAAGAGTCAGACACGACTGAGCGACTGAACTGAACTGCCTTAACCCATCCTCCCAACTCGCTAAAACATAACAAGCACTACTCCCGCAGTTTAAAAAGTGAGATCGGAATGAAAATAAGCAAGGAGACTTTCGTGGAAGTTTGGCCAAGGGCCACTCCCTCAACCTCCTCCCAGACGTGGTCTGACAATGCCCATTCTCGGACTCCCTGGGGTCTCACCATGTTCACGACACGCTCTTGTTACTTCCGGAATCACCGGCGGCGCGGCTCGTTTGCGTCATCCGTACGCCGCTTCCGGCAAAGGCTAGCCCGGAAGCGGAAGCCGCTTTGGGAAACGGAAAAGCCCAGAAGCGGGTTCCCAGCTGCTGGCTGGGGAGTCTGTACTGGGTTCTCTTGAGTGGGAGGGTCTAGGGCCGTATTTTCTGCTGGTGCTGCCGCCGCCTCCCAGGGTAGCAGAGCTGAGACTTCGCCGTGCTGCACCCCCAGTTTGGGTAATATTTCCCTCTTACATCGCTCCAGCACGAGGCAGAGCCCAGAGGAGCTGCCTGCATTGTAGAGTTCTAGAGAGAAGGGAGGACAAGGGTAGAGGGGACGACATTCTGGGTTGCCCAGTAGGTTTGGGGGAAACACGTTCTCCTCATCCTCCAGCGGCGGCATCAGGTCTTTATCGTTCTCCGCGGAGGCTCTGGTTCCTCCTTGGTTCTCCCAGCCGGCATTGTGCTTGGAGTAGCCAAGTGGACGCTTCTCGTGATTTTCCCCGAGTGAACACCGTGTATTCGTCTTGGTGAAGCCATGAGGGATGGAGCGATGAGGGATGGAGCAGCATTTGAGGGCTTTGAGGGCTTTCTTTAGACTGTCTATAGAAAAATCGAGACAGACGCTTGCCAGTGTTACTAGTTACCAAGCCAGGAAAATGTTGGGAAATAATTAGCATTGTATTTTGAAGCCTTGGTGTGTTATCTTTCATGGAAAAGATGAGAGTTTTTGAGAACAAGAAGGGTAAGATAACTTCCATTTTTTTGAGTACCTTTTTAAGTACTCTGGTGGTTCTTAACCTTTCGAAGATCCAGGGACAGTTCTTTAATAATTGGGTACACGTTGCAACATTTGTCATACAATTATGAGACTGGTGACCTCAAAGCCTATCTGTCTGTGAACCCTCTAGGTCTCTGCGCTTGACGTTAAGAACCCTGATCCTATATATTGTATTAGGTATTTTAACTATATTACCTTCTTTGACCTTCACAGTGAGTTCAGTTACCCCCATTTTACATATGGGAAGCTGAGGCCTAGACTTTGTTCAGGGGTTTGTTTGTGTCTAATTCCACAGTCCGTACTTACTGCACAAAGCTGTCCTGATGTTTGAAATCCAAAGAGGTTATGAGGTTAAAGAAAAAAAAGCTGACGATAACAGCATAAGCCTTATCATGAAAAATTAACATGGACTTTGTATTAACATGGACTTTGGAGTCTGACTGATGGGGTTTTAAAAATCCCTGTTCTGATCTCTAATTACTTGTATGTTATTGGGTGATTTTATCTGTGCTTCAGTTTATTTGTAAAATAAATAGTATCTATCTTACAAGAATGGCTGTCAGTAATCAGGACTAAGTGAGTTAAAGCAGGAAGTCCCTAGAAGTGTGTTCACATCGAGTAAACCCTATTAAAGTATTTTCTGTTATCATTGTGTGTCTTCTGTCAAAGTATTCCAATGGTATTTTAATATAGTTGCTCAGTTTTGGAACTTGAGTGTGTTATAACCTCAAGAACTTTATTACATTTTCAGTTCTTGAAAAGCTCATTTGCAGGGTGATTTCTTGAGTTGATTTGAGTACACAGTTTTCTTCCTACTTTCCCTTTTAGGCATGCATGCATGTAGATAGCTTTGTAGGGCACATATTTGACTTTGTAGGCTCTGAATTTTTGACATTGAAATAATTTTGTTATGGAAGCATCTACAGATACTCTGTATGCCTCCTGCTTTACCCCATTTGTGGTTTACTAGAAGTTCCTAATCTTTTGGAAACAGCCTTTCTGCCAAGCTGTCATGGTGACATGATAGCCACAACTTTTCTGATGCATTAGAACCTCATGGTGATTAGGCAATAAGCTTTTTAAGTAAACATGATCCGTGTGTTTATTTTGAACATTTGGAGACTGATTAGTATTATATATAGGTTTAGAGAGAAAATTGCATATAATTAAATAGTAATTTGCATTTAAATTCAGGCATCGACAGAAAAACACTCTCTTGGTAATGTGTACCCTGAATTTTGAATTCCATGAACAATAACAAATTTAAAAAAAACAAGTAGTGTGTAATATCTATTCTGAGACTTTTCTGATTTCCTTGATTGTTAAAGCTTGGTAGGGAGCTAAATTAGTGTGGGAACACTATGGAGGATGAGAACATACTTAGGAAAATATTATTTGTTGTTTTTTTTTTTGCTTTGTAATTTTGTTCCAATCCAAGATTCTTATGTTCTAAGATTAAAGTACCAGGATATCCTATAGCATATTTTGGTAGTGATGGGAGGGACAGATGGTGTTGCTTTGTGTTGGGTGGGAGCAGAAAGTAATTGATTTTGATTACATACTTGTGAGAAAAATTAGTGATTTTAGTCCTTCTCAACAGTCAAGAGGGTTGTTTGGTTCTTTTCTGCAGTCTTGAAGAGAAAGAATTGCTCAAGGCATTCGACCCACAGTTTGAACACATAATTGGGCTTGGACTTCATTCCATTCACTAATTGCCCTGGCTTAGTAATGTAAGTTGTTAACAAATTGCTTTTTAAAATTTTGGATGATGAATCTTGTATGTCGGTGTTAGAAAGTTCGATGTATATTCACTTTGTGGCCATTAAGAAAAAAAAATCACATATATTTTCTTCTGTTTCAAGTTACAGTTTTTACACTTTTTAAAGAAGATGTATCTATTTCTTTACTTACTTATTTGACTGCATCAGATCTTAGTTGTGGCACTCAGGGTCTTTGTCATGTCATGTGAGATCTTTTGTTGCTGTGAACAGACTTTCTGGTTGAGCCGTGAGGGCTTAGTTGCTCCAAAGCATGTGGGATCTCAGTTCCCTGACCCAAGGATTGAACCTGTGTCCCATGTGTTGCAGGGTGGATTCTTAGCCACTGGACCACCAGCAAAGTCCCTTTACACTAACTTTTATGTCTCATGTAATAGGAGTTTTTTCCCCAACAAACATTAGCTGCTGTTAAGTTATTTCTCAGTTAGCTTGACTGCATCTAAATGTGGTAGCATGGTAAATGTACAGCAGTCTCTGTTTGTAAGATATCGATATTGAACTGGTTTGTCAGGATACCTGAGAAGTACGTTACTGCTGCGTGTTCATTCATTCGGGGCATTTATTGGAGGCCCATTCTGCTCCAGGCAATGTGCTGGTTATTCTTCAAGAACACAGGCCTGTATTAGAGAAAGAGCTGTGAACAGATAAATTATGGTAGGTGGTTGAACCAAGGTATGCAAATGGAAATATTTTCTTTTTTAAACTATAAAACTTTTTATTAAAATTTTTTTTAAATTTTGTATTGGGGGTAGCAAATTGAAATATTGTAGAGAATTTATTCTACCTGTTCATCTTTCTGGAAATGGACCAGGTCAGAGTACTGTTAGTAATATTTATTTAGTGCTATAACATATAACAGATTGAATCTTATGACCATAATAGATTCTAGTACATCAATTTATCTTTTAAATGACTTCAGTCATTAAATAGTTTAGATGTAAATTTCAGTTGTCTTTCTTTTGTTTCTTTGTTTACGCTTCACTAATGTTCTTTTGCATAGTAGCTTCCAAAGTTCTGAGGTTGTTTAACCTTATTGTAGTGTGTGTGTATATGTGAGCATGCCTGAGGCTTGATACGGTGTTGTGTCTCCATGACATTTTCCTGATGGGACTCTTGAAGCCTGTACTACAAAATGTGCTTTAACAGAAGGAGATAAGTATTCATCTAGTTATTAGAAACCAAACAGCTATGGTAGGAATATGGCTTGCCATTTAGCCTGAATTGGAACAGTGTCATATGGTTTTAATATGTATTTTTGTTACCTTGAGAAGTTGAGAAATTTGTACCATGTTTTTCAGAGCTTTTAGCTGAAGCATTCATTTCACTGCAGTTTGCATTTTGGTGCTGAGATGCTAATTGTCAACATCTGTTCACTGTATTTTTTAAAATACTGACAATATTATTAAAAGCTTAAGTGGTCTAGTATATTCACTCAACTAATGGTTTTGCGATTCCTTCTCACTTAGGTAATCTTAAGATCTTATACAGTGTTCCTGTGTGATTTCTACTTTCTCTTCCCAATGCATATTCATCTATTTTTATCCTTTAATAAATGGTAGTTCTTTTTGGACTAGTCTCAAAAACAAAGAATGAAATAAAACACTTTAAAAAGCATTTAAAATATATTTCTACCTTGAAAAATTGGGATTGGCTTAACTAGATGACTTGTCTTTATGCTTCTGTATGTCTTCAAGGCCATCTGATTCCACCCTGAACCATACAAGGAACATGAATTTGGTGCCCCACATATCCAACCCACCAGACGCTAAGCCCACTCTTCTTAGATATCTACTAGCCATACTTCTCTGTTTTTGTTTTTGTTTTTTGCACTTGTATAAGCTCCCTTGTCCACCCCAAGAACTTTGACAAAGCAAGAGAAAATACACGTGCTAGCAAAAGTAATCACATTTTAAAAGTTGCTTTTACACTTAAAATTCCTCAATTGCTAGCCTACTGTGGTTATAAAGTGCAGAGGATTCTTTTTGTTGATTTCTCCACCTCCCTAACCCTAGCATCCATTTCCTCCCAACAGATTTTTCTTCCATGTATTCTCTCTCCTCCCTTGCAGCCATGTGCTTTAGGGGAAGCCAACCACATCTTCATGCCAAAGAATGGGCCTGGTTGGCTAAGAATAATTCCATCCATCTTTATCAGTCTCTAATTTAGGAGAGGAAATGCGATTCAATTTTGGTCAATGAAATGAGAGGTTTAAGTTTGCTCTCGGCTTCTGGAAAAGTCCTTCCTCGTGCTTTCATTGTGTTTTCTATTCATTATTCTTTTTGGTCAGAGATTAGGTAAAGATAACTTAATAATACACAGCATTTTCTATTGTGTCCCTCCCTTTGTTTTTATCCAGAGATCCAGCCCAGGTTATTTAAAACCCCTGGCTTGTCCACTTAGGGAAGTTTAACTCCAAGAATTGTTGTTGAGTCGCTAAGTCATATCTGACTCTGCGACCCCATGGACTGCAGCATGCCAGGCTTCTCTGTCCTTCAGTATTTCCTGGAGTTTGCTCAAACTCATGGCGATTGAGTTAGCACTGCTGTCTAACCACCTCATCCTCTGCCGCCCTCTTCTTTTGCCTTCAGTCTTTCAGAGCATCAGTCTTTTCCAGTGAGTTGGCTCTTTTCATCAGGTGGCCAAGGTATTGGAGCTTCAACTTCAGCATCAGTCTTTCGAATGAATATTCAGGGTTGATTTCTTTTAAGATTGACTTGTTTACTGTCCTTGCTGTCCAAGAGACTCATAAGAGTCTTCTCCAGCACCATAATTTGAAAGCATCAATTCTTTGACACTTAGCCTTCTTCATGGTCCAACTCACATCTGTACGTGACTACTGGAAAAACCATAGTTTTGACTCTAAGGACCTTTGTCATCACAGTGATGTCTCTTTGCTTTTTAATATGCTGTCTCGGTTTGTCATAACTTTGCTTCCAAGAAGCAGGTGTCTTTAATTTCATGGCTGCAGTCACCACCCTCAGTGATTTTGGAGCCTGAGAAAGGAAAATCTGTCACTGCTTCTACTTTTTCCTCTTCTATATGCCATGAAGTGATGGGACCAGATGCCACAGTCTTAGTTTTTTGAAAGTTGAGCTTCAAGCCAGCTTTTTCACTCTCCTCTTTCACCCTCATCAAAGGCTCTTTAGTTCTTCTCCACTATATGCCATTAGAGTGGTGTCATCTGCATATCTGAGGTTGTTGATATTTCTCCCGGCAATCTTGATTCCAGCCTGTGATTCATCCAGCACAGCATTTCGCATGATGTACTCTGCATCTAAGTTAAATAAACAGGGTGACAACATGCAGCCTTCTCTTACTCCTGTCCCAATTTTGAACCAGTCAGTCGTTCCACATAAGTTCTAACTATTGCTTCTTGACTTGCATACAGATTTCTCAGGAGGCAGGTAAGGTGGTCTGGTATTCCCATCTCTTTAAGAATTTTCCACAGCTTGTTGTGATCCACACAGTCAAAGGCTTTAGTGTAGCCAATGAAGCAGAAGTAGATGTTTTTCTGAAATTCTGTTGCTTTCTCTGTGATCCAGAGAATTTGTTGTTAATTTGATCTCCGGTTCCTCTGCCATTTCTAAACCCAGCTTGTACATCTGGAAGTTCTTGGTTCACATACTGCTGAAGCCTAGCTTGAAGGATTAGCTCCAAGGATACCCCTTGGTGTATGTGGTAAAACTGTTAGGAAAACAGTTAAAACCTTCCAAGTGTGATCTGGTTTTTCATATCCTGGTGAAGAAGGAAACCCGGTTGGGCTACATAAATGGTTTGTAGAAAACCATTTTAACAGATAAGATTTTGGAAAACGTTTTAAGCAAGCATTACCTGAATTGGAGCAATGACTTGGGAGGCATGATCAGAATCCTAAGGGGGAGTGTGAATGGAAAGTGGGGAACCATATGTACTTTTTTTAATACCAGATTTTGTTTTGGAATCATTTTAGGTTTATAGAAAAGAAGCAGAATAGTACAAGGAGTTTCTGTTGTACCTTCTACCCAAACCTCTCCCTAATGTTAATGTCTTACATAATCATGGTACATTTTGTCACATCTAAGAAATTAACATTGATATGAATTGAACTACAGACTTTATTTGGATTTCACAAAATTTTCCACCAATATCCTTTTTCGGTTCCAGGATACCACACTGCATTTAGATCATGTATGATTTTGATAAATAGATTGGGGTTTTCAGTGAGCTTTTTCTTTGCCATGTATGTGGTCCAATAATCCTCTCTGACCAGTGCTGAGGAAAGTCATTGACCTTGAGAATAAACAGCACCACATAGGTGGTTTCTGTAGCCTTTGATGCTCAAAGCAGTGTTAAGCCAGTGGAAGAGTTGGCTTTGCTCCCAGGAGGGTGGTGTGACGTTTCCTGAGAAGCTTAAGAGCTGATCCTGATTGTGGGTCCCTTCTTGGCTTCTACTAAAACCGTGTGTTTACCTTATAGATTTTACTACTTGGAACTATCCCCAATTATTTCTTGTCTTCCTCTTTACTGAATTGTGTGTTTCTAAGGGGTCAAGGACTATCTTACTTATTTTGGAATCTAGGAGGCCTGGCTTGCTGTAGTCCATGGGGTCGCTAAGAGTCAGGCATGACTTGGCAATTGAACAACAGCAAGCATCCAGCATATTGCTTGGCATGTAATAGGTTCTTAATACACATTTGAAGAAATTAATAAGTCCTCATTTGGTAACATTGATTATTTATTAGGTCAACAGAAGTTTTGTTTTGAATGCCACATGTGTTGAGTTTCTCCTTCAAATAGAGGCCTCTTAAGTGGCCATTTCTGTGGCCAGCTAGTGTTTCTTCCCAGAATCTTAATCAGAGAAGTATAAAATACTCATTTAAGGTTGCTTTTTCTTCTGATTATATAAACAATTTATTTTCCTTAAAAAATAAGAGTAGAATTGAAAGTAATAGTAGTGTGTGTGTGTATGTATGTGTGTGTGCATGTGCATGCGTGTGCTAAGTTGCTCAGTTGTGTCTGACTCTTTGTGACCCCACGGACTGTAGCCCACCAGGCTCCTATGTCTGTGGGATTTCCCAGGCAAGAATACTGGAGTGGGTTGCTATTTCCTTCTCCAGGGGGTCTTCCCGACCCAGGGATCAAACCCATGTCTTTCGGTCTCCTGCATTGACAGGTGGATTCTTTGCCACTGCGCCACCTGGGAAGCCCAATAGATGGTAGAAGAGGTAGAAACTGTGTTAGCTTTTGAGTATGTGTGTGATAGTTGCAGTTTCACCCCACTGGGTTGTAGATCTGGCTGTTTGCCTGCTATTTCATGCACAGTTAATGAAATAAAAACTTCCTAGACTTATTGAGGGAGACGGCTTGTCAGATTCAGAGAATTAGTTTAAATTTTTTCCTGTTACAACCAAGATTCAGTGGCCCGGGGTCACCTAAGCATAAAAGCTGCCATGGTATGGGAACACAGGGGCCTGTTCTAAGTCTGTGGATCGGGTACAGTAGAGTCAGCTTGGTAAATAGAAAAAAACATCAGGGTAAGAGGGAGTTGTAAATCAGAGCTGCTATTTTCTTGATTTAAAGACTGTGACAGAGGCCTAGATGAGCCAGTGTTCTATTTTGTTTCTCTCCAGACGTCCTGTGAAGTTAGGAAATGAACAATGATAACTTATCATTTCATTTCTCCCTGTTTTAGTCACATTAGCTTTGTATACCTTTTTCCTCCTATGAACTATATTTTATTCCAAGGGGCATAGAATAGAAAGTCGTATACCCTGTTCATTTAATTTGGAGTCTGAAGAGCTCTGGCTTATTTTAAAGAGACTGATGTAATGGAATCCAAGTTGAATTAAGAAATGTAAAGTTACTTTTAAGAACCAATGTCAGGGGTCCAGAAGTTTTATGTCAATTTGAAGAGAACCGAGGGACTAAAATCTTGCCTACATTTAGAAATGCCATTTATTAGATTGAAGAAGGGGAACATCTGTTAAAAGATAAAAATCTTTCCAATTCTGAAATAGACTATAACTTCAATAGTGCTTGGTAATGTGGGAAGTTGATTTTAAAAGAAACAAAGGGATAATAAAATTGTGTGACTAATTATGAGATAAATGGAATGCAGGCATTTTAAAGAAAAATCTTGTTAAAAACTTTGATGAGATTTTCTTAGATGAAGCTTTTAGATAAAAGTTCTAGATGAAAATCTTTGTGACCTTGAGTTAGGCAAAGATTTTTAAAGAAATAAGATACGAGAAAGGACAAACTATAGAAGGAAGAAAAAAATTATAAGTTAGATTTCATCAAGTTAGGAAAGTTAGGAACTTTTTAAACAACACTGTTAATAAAATGAAAATGCAATTCACAGAAAATATTTGCTGAATGTGCATCTAAAAAGGGCTTGTGTTCATAACTTAAAAGAACTCTTACAACTCAATAGTAAGAAGACAGCTCAGTTTTTAAAAATGACAGAAGATTTGGATACCAGAGAAGTTTTATAAATAGCCAGCAGGCCCAGGAAAAGATGCTCAGTATTGTTAGTCCTCGGGACATTAAAACTACAGTGAGATACCACTTCACACCTATTAGAATGGGTAAAACTTAAAAGATTGATAATACCAAGCATAGGTAGATACAGTAACTGGAGCTCTCATACACTGCTGGTGGAAATGCAAGGTGGTACAGCCGCTTTGGAAAATAGTTTGGCAGTTTTTTATAAATTAAATGTATACTTACTACATGACCCCGCAGTCCCACTTTTAGCTGTTTATCCAAGAAAAATGAAAACATATGTTCACATTACACTTGTATTTTAATGTTTACCCATAGTAGCCCCAACCTGGATAGAATCCAAATGTCCTTTCCTGGGGAATGGATAAACAAACTGTATGCCCACATAATGGGTGACTACTACAAAGGGGAATGAACTACGGATACAAATAACAGCATGTATGGAGCTCAAAAGTGTTATATCACACATGAAAGACTATATTTTCAATGTGATGTCATTTATAGGCATTCTGCAGAAGGCAAAACTATAGCAAAGTAAAAGTACATCAGTGGTTGTACAGGAGGGTGGAGGAGCAGGGCTGACTGCAAAGGGTCTTGAGGAACTTTTGGGGATTATGAACTGCTCTGGATCATGATTGTATTTTATATCATTACCTTATACAGTTGTCAGAACTCTTTTAATTGTATGCTTTGAATTGGTGACTTACTACATATAAATGACACTTTAGGGAAACTGATTTTGACAAGAGATTTGACAAAGAGGTTTTTTTTTTTGTTTTTTTTTTTTTTAACTAGTGATTTATATAGGATTAGAGAATGGGTTTAAAGTTTGGATTTGAATTTGTTATAGACATTAAAATAATTTTGAAATAATAATATCACTGAACTGAGTTGCAAAAAGCTTACTAGTTATGTGTTGGGTCAAGTTTAAATTAATATTATTCGCAAAAATAGATGGAGATAAAATATAAATTTTACATGAAGAAGTTGCTATATCAGAGAATGAGAGTTCCAAATAACTAAGGAAAAAAACTTGAGGGCTGATTTTGAATTCCCCCCTCTTGCCTAAATCTTTACTTGGTCTAATACAATTCACCATCACTTTCTAGGAATAGTCACTTCCTTTTGCCTCCAATAAATTACTTAAAAATTTTTTTCCTCTGAGTTTCTTCTCATTTTGATTTGCTCGCTCCTCTGAGGAGGCAAGGGCAGGATATATCTAAAGTTGGTCCCCTCTCGCAGTCTTTCTTCATTCCTCATGTCTTCTGACTGCCCTCTGGATCCTGGTGTCTCTAGCTTCAGATGCTGATTTCCACTTGTCTTGTGGATGTCCTCATCTGGATATGTTCTGCCTATGTGCCTGCTTAGTTGCTCAATCATGTCCGATCCTGGGACCCCATGGACTAAAGGCTGCCAGGCTCCTCTGTCCATGGGATTCTCCAGGTAAGAATACTGGAGTGGGTTGCCATTTCCTCCTCCAGGGGATCTTCTTGACCCAGGGATCAAGCCCCGGTCTCCTGCATTGACGGGATATCCTGTAGACGCTTTAAACTTAAGTTCACTTCTGCACTCATTACCTTCCCTCCATATTTGCTCTGCCTTCTTAATTCTCTGTCATTATTCATCCAGGTTCCCAAGCATAGAAAATCCTGACTTGTCCTTGCCTTTTTGCTCTCCTTGAGTTTTTTGCCTCGAAGATCACTGATCCTGTTGCTTCTGACAGAAACAGAGCACACTCTAGTGTCTTCCTGTCTACATCATGACCAGTGCCTAGAAGCTTCCTTGGACAGCATCCTCTTGTTTCTCAGCCATTGATCTTTCTCTTCAGAGTCTCACATTGCCCCCAGAGTTACTTCTCTTTAAATGTGTGACCCTGTTACTCCCTTAGTTAAAAAACTTATCTTGTGGCTTTGTTGCTGTTTTTTAGAGTCTAATCAAATGAAGTCATATTCCTTTAAAATTCCAAATTAAATACTTCTGAACTCTCATTCTTCCTATCGCAAGAATGTCTCTCCCTCCCTCCCCTTTTGGAGGTTCTTGATGCATCAGTATTCCTATATAAGAGGGTAGACTCTGGGATCACATTGCCTGGTTCTTTGACTTGTCAACTTGATGATCACAGACATGTTATTTTAGCTGTCTGTACCTCCGTTTCCTAAACTATAAAATAGGCATCATAATATGGTTACCTTACACGGTTGCTGTGAGAGTTAAATGAGATGATACATGAAATACTTCAAACTGCTGGCATGTAGTAAGTCCTCAGTAGAGGTGGATTCTTGTTTTTATCATCATACTGGAAAAAGAATTCAGAAAACTTAGTGTTTTGGGTTGTTGCTGTCATGGGTTCAAAATGAGATTTCTCTGGATCTCTCACCTTTCCTGATGAGGAGAGATTATAAGTGAAAGCTGTGCAACTTGGCTGAGTCAAATTCCCTCAGGTACACTCACTGCCATCTTGCTCATCTGTTTGGGTTGGGCGGCTTGGGCACAAACCGCCGTCATAACCTGGCAGGCCCGAAGCCTGGGTAGCACATTGAGCCATGTCCCCTGGGGTTCTCCTGCCGTGCCAAGTCACCTGGGCCTAGTTTCCAGTCTCAACCTGCCTTCCCTTCCCTTAAATTCCAAGTCTTGCTCCCCGAGGGCAGCTGAATTCCTTCCTTTTCTCAGTGCAT